CATTTCCGACTTTCTAACTCGAATTTCTAAATACAATTTTGAATTATAGCTCATTATAAATAGGTTGAATTGCAGCACATTTCCCTTGTTTACTGTATGCAGGTTCGATTTTTAGTTTCTTAGATATTTTAATCCAATGCAAAAATTAGTTGACTCAAGCCGACTTTACCCAAAGGAGCGTTACATTGCCGATTGTGACGATTCAATACTAGTGTTGCCGAAATTAGTCTTGCACTTTGCAAGACCAAGACCACGGCCATCTAACTGTTGCAAGACCAAGACCAGGCCTCTTAAAAAAATCTTTTAAAAAAATAATAAGGCAAAATAATACTTGATAATCTTAGTTACTATATGTTAATAATTGGTATAACCAATATACATTTTGCATTTAACTCCTCTAATTTTTCATTGATGTTTGTCCTATCTAAAAAATTACAGCAATATCTCTATAGTAATAAGCTAATAAATAACTTCAAGACTGTTGCGAGACTCTTGCACAAGACCAAGACCAGGACTGAGTTTGCAAGACCAAGACTCGTCTCGGTCTCGCATTTGGGCAACACTATTCAATACTCACAAAATTAAATGATAATCGCTCCTAAAGTAGTTTTCACCTCAAAAATCATTAAGTTTGAATAAAAATAACCATGTATCCGTTTTGCTCCCAACGTCATTTCCTCGTTACACAAATTCCTAGAATACAATTCATGTTTTTTCTAGCCAATGTATTGTTATCTAGTAATAAAAATTCATGTCACCGTTTCGAGACGATGCCTCATTTCCAGGATCTCAGACACATTTGAACTACTTTTTATCTTTTGCTCCTTATCAGTCATTCTGTATCTGTTGTATCAACGTTGTTATGAATATTGAAATTCATATTTAAAAATCCCAATGACAAATGTGTCTTATCCGTTAATAATGACCCATCAATTGCATCCCAAACCTTGAAGGATGGTGTCAAAACTGGAGGATTAAAATAAATTCCAATAAATCGCATAAAATCACTTTTAACCTTAGTCATAAAACTGTGACTTCCTGTACTACACTGCCCATTAATAATACCCCAATTATCCCTGTTGAACAAATCCAGTACCTTGGACTCTACCTGGACAACCGTCTAACTTGGATAAACTGGATTTCCAGCGAAGAATTCAGATACTAGTGAATTTTCTTCAATGATTTCTTCTATTCTAGGAAGATCTATGTTATATAATGCATTGCGGTTCTTCCTTAATAATTTATTTCTTTAATTATATGTTTCGTTCCTCATGCATAACATTTTTCAATATTCTGAAGACTTTTTCCTCATGTTCATTTTTATTTTATCGGCAATTTTTCTGTCCGTCAATTTTTTTTTCTTCTTTTCATACTTTATCCATATTCAATTACACTTCTTACTCGTATAAAGCCAATCTTTTGAAATTGAACTAATATTGAGGTAACAGCCATGAACTTCTACAGTTTGTCAATACCTACGTACTGATGGATACATCTTGTTCTGTTTTGGAAAAAAATAGAAGTGTTTGAGTACTGTAGCTTGCGGCTAAATGCAAACAAACTTTTTCAAAGTGATGTGGGTGTTTTTAAAAATCTATATTCAATTATGGACAGTGACATGCATGAGATTTACTTTTCTATACAATTACATGTATGCCACAAAAACTATTATTTTGTATCATGTAGTCATTTTAAACTGTCAACAAAAAGGAACTAGAGATATTTATCAGATTTGTTCTGAGAACTATTTATTTTTTAAATAGTCTAGCATCGAATTTTTTTTTTTTTTTATGGCGTGCTACCAATGGGTAGTTTCTCCTCATGTTGTCATGTTACTTATTCATATTTATCAGTTGTATTTATCATTTAATACAGTTGTAAATTTCAATAATAAAAGTTTTTTTTAACGCTGCGATTTATTACATAGTGGTTTATGATTGCTATGTATAAGACTACTTTTCTTGCATAGAAGAATATAAATAAAAGGTGATTCTTAAACCTAGCCTAAATATCCTTTTTAGTTTGATAAGGAGAACAAAATCAAAACAAAGGATATCAGCTTTGCAGCAGAACGTGAGGATAATATCTAGAACAACATATCTTTGCACCAAATCGTCAGATTTCTACGATTCCTGTTTTTATTTTTTTAGAATCTTTTGTAAACTTTGTTTTGTTTATTTAAAAAACTAACTGTATACTTTTTGTGTTAATCGAAAATCTAATTTTACCACCCCTCGTAACTTTTTTTTCCATTTTTTTCGGGTAAGTATGTTTTATATATATATATATATATATATATATATATATATTAATTTAAACGGCTTGGAAGGAGATCACATTAGCCAACTGTCATTGAAATAGTTGCTACAGTCTTACGGTAAAGGTTTTTTGGTCACCATCTTAAAAATAATGGACGAATGGTTATGCCGAGTTCTGGGGATACCCTTTGACATTGACACCAAATATAAAAAAAAAAAAAAAAAAAAATCAGCCCATTAATTAGTCTCAGAGAAAAGCTGCGAACGACGTAAAGCGGATCTTTATTTATAAGATTTTCGGATTCTATGTATCATGATACATTAAACCTCAAACTTTGAAGGGGGATAACTTTTTTTTCTTGATCGATTAAAAAGGTTGAATATCGAAAATAATAAATCATGAAACGATTCATAAATGGAATTATTAATAAGATTTTTTATATAATATATCGGTGCAAAAAAGTAATAATATTCGGTAAGGTTTTTTTTTCAAAAAATATTTACAATAATTGGTTCTGAGCTATAGGATTGATTCCAAAGTTGGGGTCATAAATAATTTTTTAAAATGGTGAAATGAAATATAGGTGTCCCATATTTTTTGTTTACTATGACTGAATAGGTATTTTAAAAAAGTGCCCAGCCCCCACTGACCCAAAGGTTCGAGGAAGCGCAGGAGAGAAATGGGTCACTCACTTACACTAGCTCGCTTGCCCTCCCTCCCCTGCTCGTCCCAAGAAAGTTGATCGTTTTCTCCTTCTGTTGTGGACTCCATCTTCGGCTTGCCCACTTTTACCGTCGTCTTCACTCCGCTCGGCTTCGCGGAAAACCAGTTTTTGTCCGGTCCGGTCAGGCTGCAAGGTGAGGTAGTCGCCATATCCGTCAACTTGCCCCTTTATGGAACAGCCATTTCTTGTTTATCTCTCAACGGGATTTTACTATTAGTTTTCACCATTTCTATTATCGTAAATGGAGGATATAAATTAATAAAACTCGTTAATGTAAACTATTTGTGTGCGAAGAAACGGGTATCGCAATTTATTTTCACATCCTATAAGTAAAAATATTCTTAATACTCTACCGAGAAAAACATGATACCGTTGAGTCGTTTATTTCTAAAGAGAGCCCTAGTAATCTATGAAAAAGTTTCGGGAGATGTGAGAAGTTACTTATTCATCATATTTTCTTTTCTATATCATTTCTCGAAATTTTAAGATTTTCAATATTCGATATCTTCTCCATTAATGAAATTACATTTAGGGATTATAAGAAAATCAAGGATTTAATTTGAGAGGTTCAGGCCCGAAATTTTTATATATATATAATGGGAGTGGGGTAGCTCAGTGGTAGAGTACTGAGCTTCCAATGCTTAATAAAAAATCTCCCAGATTCAAATCCCTGCTCATGGCAGAAAAATTATTTATTCTGTCTCATTATCCGTGGAGCGACCTTTGGTAGGGAGACCCTCCTGGAGCACACCTAACCACTATAAAGTGGATACCCTTAATTAAATAATTGATTAAGGAGGAAAACACTGTAGTTGAGCGTGATCTTGGTCAAATCACCTCCTTGCACAACCGTTGACCAAGAAACAGTGCTTTCCCTAATTATATTGAACACAAGAGCCTTATATATAAGGGTTGTAGTGGTGCAGGTTTTATATATTTTATAATGTATATATATTATATATATATATACATTACATACATTGGAAGAAAAAATAAAGAAACTGACTATTCATATAAAATGTTGTTTAAGTGATTCTTGAAGTCCTACTTAAGAAACACAAGTTTTATTACATTCCTTTAAAAAAATACAGGTTTCGGAAATAGACGTATTTTCACACCATTTTTAAAAATATTAATTGCACCATTGGATTCATTAAATCTTTTTACACGAGTTTCAATATTTATCTCGATTCACATAAAAATCTATCAGGGTTCACTTTGGAAATGAGCGACTCAATAAAAATAAAAAATATATATATAATGTATAATTATATATATATATATATATATATATATATATATATATATATATAATTTATTTATTTATATATGGACTCCACATTTATATAAAAAATAAAGTTAGTAATAAAATCACACCAATACTTCCGGATATTAGAATTTTATATCTGAGCATTCACGCCTGGTCACACTAAGGTATAGGAAAATTTTAATTTATTGTTTGTTCTTTTGTCATTTAAATTCCTGTTTTTCCGGTTCGTGTTTACTTGTTGTTGTTTGTAAGGTTCTTAAAGATTCGACTCGCTAAAATATACTACAAAAACCTCAGTTGATTTTGAAAACGGTATTAAAAAAAAAAAGAAATACTGTACTTGGTTGCATTAAAATTTACAATTTTAAATACTTGCATATAACTTTTGATTTTTTTTTTTTTATTAGAATTGATTGAATTCAAAATTTATAAATCTGTATTATTAAAATATATTGTATAAATTATAAAATTTAATTATATATGGTTTTGATAATTATGTAAAAAAATCAATTACATCCACAGTATATTACAAATTCTCTAATATTATATATCTACCTATATTTTTTATCCAAATGTTTGCAAAAATAGTACAGAGACTAGCTGTACTAACAAGTGGCAGTTCTATCTTAAAAGTTTAATTAACTGCTAAATATTCAATTAATATATATTCAATAAAAATACACATAATTTACTGTGAATAAATATCCTAGAAAATAAAACATAAATAATATTTTCCATCTGTTGCAGGCGATGGGCAGTTCTTACTCGTTGAAAGCTCAAGTACCAGACCAAGAGGTAAGTTCATATCATATTCATGATATATAATTAATAATAAGATATATTCGTTAATTATAAAATTAATTAACACTTAAATCCTACAGTAGTTAATTGAAATGGTCATCTTATTGTTCTAGTAAGAAATTGAATTGTCTAGCCCTTTATATATACATATTTCTTTTTTTTTAATACTGATGGATACCGAAACACAACGTAATGTTCAACCTAAACCTATCAGAGTTAAAAAAAAGTAATTATTTATTTTTCTATTTGGAAAGTGGCTAAAAATATTTGAAGATATCTTATCTCAAGATTCCTTTTAAAATCTCTTCTGTGTTAATGTGCCGAATCATGTAATGAGTTGTAATTTCAGAATTTGTTATTTTCCTCGCACCGTCGTATTATATCAACTTTAAAATTCATTTGAGCTAAGAATAATATAATGATTAAATAATATTATATTACGTTTGGAAAATAATTGATCGCAAAACGTTATCTTAGTTCGTATTCTAGACCTTATTGTGAAATTAATTATTTATCTATGATGCATGTTTGCACCGTCTGGGAATATATGATTTATCTTGATTGTTCATGTTAGAGACGTTTACGTAAATGTGTATTACAAAATATGTATAAATTTAAAACGACATTGAAATCGATAAGTGAATCCCATTTCGACGGTAAGCGGCTTGTTTTTTATGGTATGATATCCAGTCCACTTTTTATAAAAATACATTATTAATAATTATAATAATCTGTGACACTACTTAAAAAAAAAAAATCAAAATTGAATATTCAATTTTCCTGACGCCTAGTTTTTTCCCTTGTACACTGGGAACCCAAGTATCTTTTTTTTAGCAGGTATATGTGAAGGGGAATATGGGGAGGGTGAGTGCGCCAACAAGTGAACTGTTAACTACAACTATTGAGTTTGATTTTTATTATCTTTAGTAAAACAATACAAAGTATTGGTAATCACAACAGTAATAATGGTTTATAACATATTTTTCATTTCGTGAGATCCTGTTTTGAATTTATTAAATTTGATGAACTTTTAATAAGAACTGCAATATTCTTCTCACACTAAGTCACTCCCGCACTCTCTCTGTCTCTCTCTCTCTCTCTCTCTCTCTCTATATATATATATATATATATATATATATATATATATATATATATATATATATGAATAAAATTGAAGCTGCTCTTTTATAAAAGAATTTCATTATTTTTGATTGTTTAATTTAGATTAGTTTGATTTTGATTAAACATTAACGTCGTATTGATATAATTTTCATAGAGTTCTGTTCCTAATTAAAACAATATTTTATTATTTTTAAGTTACCCTATAAGTCTCCTCAACTCATTATTTTTTCCTTTTCTTTATTCATAAAAGTCTTTCTTATAAAAACAATCCTAGAGCATTCTAAGCCTGTCTTTCAACAAAGGATGTTTATTTTCCACGCTTTTTTATTAATATTGGTCCATGTATGAATATAATAATTGGCTCTTTGTGAATAATTCTTATAGTATATTGGTTAGTGAACAAGTGAAAATATAATATGAAAATAAATCAATTCAATGTATTATGGTTCATTCTTAATTATAGTGTGTTGTATCTTTGCTAAAAATGGAGGGTTTCGATCAGTTTTTTCTTTTATTTTATAGGAAATTCAAATTATCATGTTTATACTTTTTAAGTTGATCCGCAAATAATGTTTATTTTTCTTTATAAACTTTTCTTGTCTTTCCTAGGAGATGCTTTTTCACAGTATTCTTTAAAATTATGGTTCATTCATTGAATTCATTTGTTGAAGGATTAACGAAGATATGTCGTACCTCCAAAAAAACCTCCTTGAGAAAATAATAAATGAATATAATTTTAACATTATTTTAACTTCAACCCCAATTCAATCCACATCCGAAATGTTCTCATCGTTGCGGAAGAACCACCACGACTAGCTTCCTCTATGTCCGCATAGCTCCTCCTGCACCCTCTTACCTCCTTGCATCGGCTACCCCGAAGACATCCTCTCAGCAGAAGAGATCTGGCGAAGAGACAGCCCTGACCTTGCACTATCGGCTGCGAACAACATCACGTGGTGGGGTCGTTGCCATCCCGCCCTTGGCATTGGGCACATCCCTCCCTCCACCGCTCTTTACATAACCCTCTTTGCGTCGCCATTATCTCTTCCTCCGCCTGTTGTTGTTTGTCTTTCGGGTTTGCTCTTCCACCTTAGGCGGGAGTCGATAGGGAAATTCGCAATTCAAGGAGGTGGAGTACGCATGTCCGAGATTCCTGCGCCGAAAAGGAAAGGATATGAGGATGTATTTCATCTTGCAAAACTCCACCAGTAGCTGATCCAAGGATTAATTTTGGATAGCATTTTTTATTATTTTTTTTAATAACGGTAAGTTCTGTGGAAGGAAAAAAACTGACTACATGAAAAGATGTTTAAGTATTCCTTGAAAAAAAAAAGATATATTTCTTATATTTTTTTCTTTACACGTGCTAAACTTTTTTATAAGCATTGAAATATAAAAAGAGAATATATTGTAGTTATTGACTCATATCACTCATATAAACAAATATGGTTCAATGAAAAAATATTTTTTTCCATATTGAGAGCGGAGCGAGGTTAGTTTCAATTATGTTTTCTATTGGCGTTAGGCATAATTTCGATAAATAGACAGAATGATTTAAATAAAAACATTAAATCAAACTTAATTTTAGACTTGTAGATATAGATGACTGTTAAAATTAAAAATGAAAGGGAAATAATATGTGGATTCATTTCAGCTTACGAAACTCCACCAGCGAATTCACAATATAATTTTGAGGAAGGATCTTTTTTTTTTTTTTATAATTGTGGTTAGTCCGGAAGAAAAAGGAAAGAACGACCTATTTGAAGTGATATTTAAGTAGTCCTTAAAAGCAAAAACATACAAAAAAGATTTGGTGCGGTGAGCGCATCACACAACGTTCAAGAACCCTCATATATACAAATTTTAATATTCATATCGCTGTAATCTATACAATTAAATATTAAATAATACCAACAATAGCATCTATGAAAACTAAGTATGTATATATATATATATATATAATATTGTCAGAGTCTTTATTATATTAAGCTCATCTTACGTATGGAAGCATGTTCTTATCTATGGTTCCTCAATTACAACTATTCTCCATTACGATCTGTTATTACTCCTTTAGTTAATTATCAAATTCTTTTATATTTTTTATTTAACTATATTTTATACTATAGATTAATTTGAAATTGTCAACTGTTTCAAATAAAAAAAATTAAAAGTACTTTAGAGAAAGCTAATATTGAAAATTAGCCATTTAAGCCTTGTTAGAGAACATACCTTACTATATATTTCATATATAGTTAAGTAAAAGTAAAAATCCTTTATTACAGGAACAGTGATGCTTTTAGAGAAAAATTTATTTATGTTTTTTCTTGTTACGTGCTAAAATATAGTAATTGTATATGCACTACAGAGAGGAAAATACTTTGTTTAAAGTAGATCTGCATACTGATCAATCCCTTTGGATATGTCGCGTACATATACATTCCTTTATTTTATTTTTTTTCCTCCTTTTCATATCATTAATAATTTATAATATCGTTACCATACTACACTGAATTATCACTATTATACAATACATATTTAGGTGAGATAAATAAATATACTTACATTTAAATTACAACATTTTAAAATTCTTTTATATTCCATTAAAAAATCTTTGGTTTTAAAATACATAAAAAGCAAATTTATTTATTTATTTATTTTTAATTAGTACTGTTATAGTTATGTTATGTACGATTGTAGTTAACTTACCCTAGCGCTAAAGTAACTATTTTGAAAGTCGGAAAGGTCCTGGGACTATTTTCTTTTCATACGTTGTTTGGCAGGTCACAAACTTAACCCTTCAATGGATTTTGAGTGAAACCTAGCGGTTGACTTGGATACACTACCACTTTGTAATAAATGTTGGTCGAGAAATATTAGTATCATATATTAGTAATATCCTATGATTTTCATTAAGTAATTATTTGAAAGACTTTTACTATCTCAATAACTATAAGTGATATTTATATATTACATTACTTTAATCGTACTATATTATTATTTTATATATTTGTTTTTGAGAACAGTTCCTATGCCAGTAGAGTTAATCTCAGCTTCGTATAATGATTAGTAGTATTACCAAATAATTTACAACAAATTAATTAATTTTAAAGTTTTAAATAATTACAATGAAAAGAATTAAACTCTGCTTGAATATAAACACAAATATATATATATATATATATATATATATATATATATATATAACAAAAAAATAATAATTTTAATTATCATTTTAAAACAAAAATAAAAATGTATCAACTATTAGTAGATTTCTAATATATGTACTGTTATTTCTATAATATGTATTGCTTTGAGTACTTGATATACCTATCTGCAGAACATATAGTTAAATATTGATATAATATTAAACATAGCGCTTAAATATAATCAACCAGCTCAATTTTCAATTTTGATATATTCATTTTTCTTAATTTTTGTTCATATTTTAACGATTTATTAAATGTTTATAGTTAATCTATTAACTGCATTGTATTAATTCTGTTAATTACATTCCTATTTTTATTTCTATTTTATTAATTGTATTTCTGAAACACTATTAGTTAATATGGCTAATCTCATATGTTAATATGGCTATGTTAATATGGCTAATCTCATATGTGGTTAACATTTTTTTCTATAAATTTATTTATTTCACAATAATCTAGTACATACAACAGATGTTGATACAATCACTAGCAGATCCAGGATTTAATTTTGAGGAGGGGCTTCAGCCCGAAAGCTTTTTTTTTTTTCATAAAAATAATGATAATTACTTAGGAAAAAAAGAAAGAAACTAACTACCTGTACGAAATGGTGTTTAAGTGATTCCTAAAGTCCTTTTAAATGTAATCACACGAACAATAATACTTTAA